TGGCCATCCCCCCTGGGGCGTGATTTCTCGCTTTCTGTCTCTGTCTCTCTCTCTCTGTCTAGCGAGCATATGCGCCCTATAGCAAAAACCTCTCAAAAAAAAAAAAAAGAAATATTTCTTTTTATTATTAATAATTTAAGATCATCTGTTCAAAGGTCTAGGCAGGAAACCTGAGAGGCTCTTCAATGCTCCTTTACCTAGTTAAATTTTTAAAAAAAGCTTTTTTTTCTCAGAGGTTTTGGCTTTAAGGTACAGAAGCTTGGTGGAGAGAAAGAGAGAGAGAGAGAGAAGAAATGAGAAACCACCCAAAGAGAAAATTCCCCCGCCGCCCCACCCTGGGAGGATGGCCACATTGCAATCCCTTTTCCTCCATTTTCCTCCTGGGATTGTGGGCATGCACCATGCACGCACATGTGCCTGGTGTGATTTTGAAGCTGCCAGGTCTAGGATCTGAACTATAGTTGGCTATGTGAGAGTCCAGTGACATAACTGCTACGCCAACTGCTGGTCTCCTAGAAAAGGTTTACAAATCGAAGCTGGCAGGTGTCATAGTGGTTAAGGCGGTTGGACTCCCACATGGATGACTGCATTTCGAGTCTCAGACCTGGCAGCTTGGTTTCTCAATTTCCTTCTCTCTCGCTGATCAACTTAAAAAAATAAAATAAAATAGAATAATGATAATAAATAAAATAAAATAATTATATTAATAAAAAGGCTTGTAAATCTTATAGGATGCTGCTAATTCTGTTCTTCTGTAAGTTCAAGAATGAATTCTAGACACTGTAGCCAGGAATGAAAACTGAAAATATGAAACTCCATTAGAATTCCTTCTATCGATGCTTCTATTTTTTTTGGAAAAGAAAAGAAAACAAAACAAAAACAAACCGAAAACCTTTTTTTTTTTTTTTTGAGTAAAGACAAGGAAAGTTAATATCGTACCTTTTGACTTCTTTTTTTGTTGTAGAGGTTTTTCCCTTAGGGCATGTGTGCTTGCTGGGGAGAGAGAGAGAGACAGAGACAGAGGCAGGGAGAGGGACAGGGAGAAATCACTCCCCAGGGGCGATGGTCATACCATAATACTTCTCCCCCATTCCCCTCCCAGGATCTTGGGCATGCATGCACATATACACGACGTGAGTTTCAAGCCACCTGGTCTGGGACTGGAACATGGTCGGCTATGTGGGGGTCTGGCGATGTAACAACTACACCATCTGCTGGTCCCACATTCTTTTTATTTTTTTTGGAGAGGTTTTTGCTATAGGGCGCGTGTGTTCGTCAGAAAGACAGAGACAGAAAGCAAGAAGTCAGCACCCAGGGGGGATGGCCATGCCGTAATCCTTTCTCCATTATCCTCTCGGGATCTTGGGCACGCATACACACACGCCTGGTGTGAGTTTAAGCCACCTGGTCTGGGACTTGAACCACGGTCAACTACATGGGAGTCCAGTGGCATAGGCATTACATGCCAACTGCTGGTCCCCCCCCCACATTCTTTTTAAATGGAATTATTTATTTAACTTTACTAACTATGATTATGATGTTAATTTGATGAGAGAGAGAGTGAGAAAGCAAGCCTCTAGGTCAGGGGCTCCAACCGTGGTGAGCTCTGTGGGAATCCAGCACCTTAACCGCCAGGCCACCTATCGGCCCCCCCCTTTTTTTTTTTTTTTGGAGAGATTTTCACTGTAGGACGCGTGCGCTCGCCAGACAGACAGAGAGAGACATAGAGACAGAAAGCGAGAAATCATCCCCCAGGGGGGATGGTCATGCCGCAATCCCTTCTCCTCCATTCTCCTCTCGGGATCTTGGGCACGCACGCACACGCGCCCGGCGTGAGTTTTAAGCTACCAGGTCCGGGACACGAACCGCAGTCGACTACGTGGGAGTCCAGCGACATAGCCATTACGCTAACTGCTGGTTCCCTCGGCCCCCCTTTTAACATTATGAAAGTTTGTAAGATGTTCCATGTCAAAACCGTGGTAATCATGTCTTCACTAAAATCTTTCTAAATGGTAGCCCTCCAAATTTTAGCCTAGTGATCAGAACAAATGTGCAGGATTTTCTTCAAATAACTTCTTCTCTAGATAACTGGATGAAGGCTTTCCTGTCCCCTCTGTCTCCACCAGGCTTGCTACAGTTCTCCATAGGGCTGCCTCCTCAGCCCGAAGATGCCATGACCCTGCCCGCGAGCAGCGTTCCACAAATCACGGTGCAAGAAGAGGATGGAGAAGTCAGGCTATTGGTTGTCCGTGCGCAAGGACTTCTTGGGAGAGTGACAGCAGAATTTAGAACAGTGTCCTTGACCGCATCCAGTCCTGAGGACTATCAGGTAAATCACTCAGACCTTTCAAAACTGTCTTTGCTTTCGTAAAACAGATAGCACACATTTTTGGAGCAATGGAAGGGACTTGCACTGTACCTAGAAAATACTAAACAGGGAAAATAAGCACTGATGGCTTTCTGGCCTTTTATATTTCCATGAATTAGGACCAGCAGATGGCACACCAGTTACATTGCTGGACTCCAACATGGTTGACCTTGGTTCGAGTCCCAGACCTGGTGGCTTGAAAATCACTCCAGGTGTGTGTAATCCCAAGATTCCAGGATGAGAACAGAGGAGAAGGGGTTGTGGCATGGCTAGTCCTTTGGGGAATGGGGAGGAACGGTGATTTCTAACTTTCCCTCTCACTGTGTCTGTCTGTCTCTCTCACTCAGGTGAGTGCATGGACTCTAAGGCAAAAATCTCTTAAAAAAAAAAACTTTAAAAAATATATAAATTAAAGTGCTTTAGTGCATTGAAGTCTGACTCTTAACTAACTACCATATTTATTTCTCTCGTATCTATACTTGTCATTGGCTTCACTTGTGTTATTTGTTTTAGTGTGACAGAATTTGATCAGATACATTAAAATTTAAATTTTTTTGCATTTTAGATCCTCTTACCCACATCTATCAAATAAAACCAAAAGTGCAAAGAAATTATATGTCCATTTCTTTTCAGTTTTGTTTACTTTGTTTTCAAGTGAGAAGCAATGTGGAATTGGCAGAAAAACTATGAATTTGGAACTAGACAGAATTTTGTTTTCAGAACTTCTTTTTTTAAGAGAGATTTTTGCTATAAGGTGCAAAAGCGCATCCTATAAGCGCATGCTCACCAGAGAGACAGAGCACGAGAAATCCCTGCTCCAGGGGAGATGGCCACACCACAATCCTTTCTCTTCCGTTCTCCTCTTGGGATCTTGAGCACACATGCACACGTGCCTGGTGTGAGTCTTAAGCCACTGGGTCTGGACTCGAACCACTGTTGACTATGTGGGAGTCCAGTGGCATAACCATTGCATCATCTGCTGCTCCATTTCAGAACTGTATTTTAACTGGTCCTCTAAATATATGGTCTTAGGAGACTCACTAATATTTGCTAATCTCAGTTTCCTTATCTGTAAAAAAGAGATAATATCTGCTGGGCAGGACCTACTCAGAGGATTCATGACGGTTTCAAGTGTCTTATACCGTACATGGCATACAGTCACACACCACGCAATTGCGTGTCATTCAACAATGGACTTCATGTGTGATGGAGGTCCGTGCCATTTTTTATGGTTTTTTAAAAAGAATTATTATTTAAAAAATGTATTATTATTATTATTATTATTATTGTTATTATTATTTTTAATTTGACCAGAGAGAGAGAAAGGGAGGGTAAGTGAGAAAACAAGCTGGTAGGTCTAGGACTTGAACTGTGGTTGGCCATGTGGGAATCCAGCATCTTAATCACCAGGCAACTTGCTGCCCCCCCCTCTTTTTTTTAAAAAAAAATTATTTGCTAGAGGGTGTGTGCATTCACCAGAAAGAGAGAGAAGGAAAGTGAGGAAGCACCCACATGTGCAACTAGCTGGCCCACCATTTTTAATCTATAAAAAGCTTTATTCTATATTTAGATCTGCTTAAATACAGAAATACCTTTTTTGTTAAATTGCCTATAATATATAGTACAGTAACATGCCGAACAGGTTTGTAGCCTATGGGCAGTCAGTCCACCATACCACATAGCTAGGTGCATAGCAGGTCATATCATGTAAGTTCATGTAAATATTCCCTATGATCTTCACACAGTGACAAAACTGCCCAATGACTCATTCCTCAGAACACATCCCTTTTAAGTGACACAGGACTGTATATAGTAGCACTCAATAACCATGACCTTATTGCCAATATGCATATAAAATAAATCCTCATGGTTTCTTCTTGGCAGTCCTCAAAAGAATTTCATATTCTGCAGTCGACTACATGGGCACCCAGATTACCCATTCTGTAATCATTACATCATCTGCTGGTCCCCGGATTATTGTTTTCTTAATAACTGAAACAGCGCAAAACAGAAGACCTGTACCCCATCTGCTATGACCATGACATACCCTTGGGGACATTTATGAGGGTCTTTTGGGGTGGATGCATGACCTGGTTCTTGCTTGTCACCATTCTGAACCATAACATTTGCTTTTCTCATATAGTCTGATAACTTTTGTCTTCACCACTTCTTTGATGCTTCAATTTTGCTCTGTTAGCAAGTACAGTGATAAGATTTCTTAGGCTGTAAATGAATATATGTCTATGCACATATTAAGGAAGGGAGGAAAGGCACCAGGATGGATCATGTACCAAAGAGAAGAGAAGGCGACTAAGTATCAGATACCATCCTTCTCAACCTTGTTCTCATATAGCAAGTTACAGGTGGTCTTCACCATGCAGATGCTTACATTCCAGCTGTTGGAGTGATACTAAACAACCGAGTGATTCTGAGTCATGGTTGGTGATCAGGGAGAGAGGCAGGTGTTGATGTAGGCTGGGTTGTCAAGGAGGGCTTTCTTGGGGAACTGACACTTAGGCTTAATTCTGAAGTTTAAGGGGGAGAAACGTAGATAAAGGGGAAACAACTTTTGAAGACTAGTAAAATGGAATGAATTAAAGGCATCAAGGTGAGGGAGGGCACTGGTTGTCAATGGAACTTAAAGGCTGGTGTTCTGGGGCATGTGGAGAGCTAGGTGTGGCTCAGTCAAGGTGCTAGAGATCATGCTGCATGTGGAGAACAGGTTAGGAGATCAGATGCTGGACACAGAAGGGTAAGTGAGGAGTCTGTTTTGCAGATCAAGGCAAGAGGGGATAGTATCTTGAACTAGACTTGTGACAGTGTAGATGGAAAGAGGTAGCTGAGCATGAGAAATATCTAGGAGTTAAAATAGCAGGATTCGAGGATTGTTTATTGTGAAAGATAAAGCAGTAAAGGGGATTGAGAATGACTCTAGTTCCTGGCAGGAACAAGTTGCTGCTTTAAATTTGGTGCTGTGGAGAGGATTGGGTAAGGCCTGGTTCATAAGCAAGGCCATGAATTTAAGATTCTGGCAGAAACTAGAAGAAAAATCTCAAATAGGAATTAAGATTTAAGTCTGAGGGGCCAGCAGGTGGTATGGTGGGTAAGGACACTGGATTCCCACATGGTGGGCCATGGTTTGAGTCTGGACCTGGTGGCTTGCTTTCTCACTTTCTCTTTCTCTCTCTCACTCTGTCCCTCTCTGGTCAAATTAAAATAAATAAATAAATGGATAAAGAAAATTAAATAAAATAGTTCTTTTAAAAAAAGATTTAAGTCTGGATCTCAGAGGGCAGAGATACAAATTTAGAAGTTAGGAATATATGATATATATACACATATCATACTGAGCATGATAGACTCTCTCTGCAGAAGGTCTAGAGAGGGTGTGATTAACAACAGTTTGTAAAGGTCATGTAGAAAAAATTAAAAGTCATGTAGAAGAAATTAAAAGTCATGTAGAAGAAATTAAAATAGGCTGGGGCCAGCAGGTGGCATGGTGGTTAAGGGTGCTGGACTCCCACATGGCTGACTGCGGTTCGAGTCCTGGACCTGGCGGCTTGCTTTCTCACTTTCATTCTCTCTCTCTCTCTCTGTCCTTCTCTGGTCAAATTAAAATAAATAAATGAATAAATAAAGTTACATAAAAAATAATTCTAAAAAATAAAAGAAATTAAGATAGGCAATGGACAGGTTGATCTGAAAAGATGGTAAGAATTGTGCTGTCATGGAATACCTGAGAACGTAATTCGAGTAGAGGAGTGGCCAGCACAAGATATAGTGAAGTTCTGGTAAGATGGTTTCCTTAGACAGTCAAATATCAGTACTCTGTCAAGACTTGTAGAATTACTCCACTGATACTACAGTCAATTCGAGGCAAAGTCGCAACGTTAATTATTTCCCCTTTGAGTTAACTGTGTGCCTTTTATAGCAAATATTATTCTATTTGAATTATAATTATTATGTTTTTATTTGCCAGAGGACGTGAGTGCTTGTCAGAGAGACAGAAAGACAGAGAGAAAGAGAAAGCACCCTCCAATAAGTGTGGGCAATACCACAATCCCTTCTCTTCTGTTTCTCCTCTTCATTGAGATTTTGGGCACGCATACACATGTGCCTACTGTGCTTTTTAAGCCACTGGGACCAGGATTTGAACCACAGTCAACCATGTGGGATACAGCTCCCTTAAGCACTAAGAGCCATGGAGTAGGCTGTGGGATAGGTCTCCCTATTTGAAATATTTTATTACATGCTTAGCTCTGCTTCTAAAATGTTCTCCGTGAAGTACGAGATTAGGCTGTAAACTCCAAGCATCTAAAATGGTGCATGTGAATGCTATATGCTTGGTAAATATTGAGACGGTGAATAAATGAATAAGCAAAAGAATTGGGACATGGGTCCCTCCATGTAGCTTTAAGATCACTCATCACTCCATAAGATAAAATATAGTTGCCCACACAAACTAACACTGGAAAAACTTAGACAATTTTAAAATATAGTCTTATAACTTGAAGGAAGAATGCTTATATGAAATAATGGAAGAAAACTGAGCCTTGAGACTTTGACTTTTGCATAACTTTGTCTTAATATGTGAACTTTCTGAAGGAAATTCTATGCCATGAATGTCTATTGCAAGTACAGTAAAGATTAATGTCAAATGTATTGTGTATTATTGCTTGGAGAAATTTGCAGAGTGAAAATGCCATCATTATTGTGTACTGAGTATTTTAATTTCTCAACGATAGAGTTTCAGTAGTTTTAAGTATATTTATCCAAGAGAATTCCTTGCATCTCATTGAATTAATTCTCTAGGAACTTGTGGATGTCACCCATTAAGAGTTCCCATATGCCTTGACTGTTTTTTTTTTTTTTTTTTTTTGATGCACAAATAAAAGTCTATCTACTTTATTTAGTTGGAGAATAGTTGTTTAAAATTTACATTGAACATTATTCACTCTACTGCAGTGTTTTTAATATTGTATTTTGCTATGTTCTTCCATTTCAGTATTTATAACAACTTGGGATGTAGCAGAATGATTGTAATCTAATGGATAAGTCTTTTATTTGTGTTTCAGAGTGTTGCTGGCATGTTAGAATTTCAACCAGGAGAAAGATATAAATACATTTCTGTCAATATCACTGATAATTCTGTCCCTGAACTGGAAAAATCTTTTAAAGTTGAGTTATTAAACTTGGAAGGAGGAGGTAAGGCTGGTAAGATTTTCAAAAATATCAAATACTTACTTGTCTACTGGCTGTGATGACAATACATTCTATTAAAAAAAAAAGCTATGTTTCTTTGAATTAAACTTACTTTTTAAAATTTTAAGTGAATGAATTACTGGTTTTTGAAAATAACAGCCTGATGGTTAATAATTGCTTAAGATTTATGGTAGATTGTTTCTGATTGATAATCCCTTCTTTGGTAACAAAAAAACTTTAATTTCTCTACATAAATTTTGATTAGATTTACAATTTACCATTCAACTCATAGTTTCATTTAGATGTACATTTGCTAATGAGACTTGATCTATTCTAAGTCATTTCTGTGTATGTTATGTGGACATAATTTGTTGTGCTTATTTTTTTTCCTATTTTTTTTTTTTTTTTTTTTTACCCATTGATCCTTTCCTAATGTAGATGTGATTTTAGAATGAAATAGTGCAGTGGTATTAAAACACCAAATCATAGTCATTAGTCATAGTGGGTACTCTCCAAATGTTTTCTTTCTTTTCTTCCTTTTCCAATTATCCACATAGGCGAAAACTAGTCCTTTCAGATAATTTCATATAATTATCAATAAAACAGTTCAGTAATACCTGACCCTCAATTCTGATATTTGTAAAGCTCTGGTTATCTAAGGCTTTTGGAGTCAAAACTTACTTCATTGCAACACTTATTTGCATTGAAGTCAGACTACTTATTAATAGAATATTTATCCCAATTATAAATGTTTCCTCACAGAAGTATTCATGGTTTGGTTATCAAGTGTTACTTGGTAAGCTATGCGGTACGTGTAATATGCAGTGTATTACCTTTTTAAGTAGAAGAAATAGAACATTTCTATGACATTTGTCAGTACAGTCCCTTCCATTACCAAACCCAGTATTATTAGCTCATTATTATTATTCATCATTGTGATGAAGAAAGTCACAGTATATAAGCCAATACATTCTATTAGAGAAAACTAGTTTTTAACCATTAAGTTAAGAGATTGGCTAGTACAGAAATACTGAAGTTGTCTATTTGTATAAAGTGGAACTTCAAGTAAGTGTGTTGAATTTCACCTTGTTTTGCTCCCAAAGCCTAACTGAAAGCATAGGCCAGAACTGTGCGGAGGCGATGGGAAGAGACTTAACAGCTTGGTTGAATGCACGAAACAGTAAAAATATGCCAGATGATCTGCTGGCAGGTGGTGTAAAAATGTCAACTTTGCTTGTCCTCCAGAGACATGTCCCTACACCTCTTTATCATTACATTCATGACATGATGTTCATTAATAAGAAGATTACTGTAGGGACCAGCAGTTGGCTTAACGGCTATGTTGCTGGACTCCCATGTAGTCGAATGCAGTTTGAGTCCCGGACCCGGTGGTTTAAATGTGTGCTGGGCACGTGTGCATGCGTACCCATGATCCTGAGAAGAGAATGGAGGAGAAGGGATTGTGGCGTGGCCAACCCCCAGGGGGTGATTTCTCGCTTTCTGTCTCTCTGTCTCTGTCTTTCTGGCGAGCGCATGCGCCCTGTAGCAAAATCCTCTTCCAAAAAAAAGAGAAATGGTTACCGTAAAATATTTTTAAGTTTTATATCACCTACCTAATACTGGTGCAATAGAAAGAAGACGTTAGCTAAATATTTTTAAGTTTTATATCACCTACCTAACAAATACTGGTGCAATAGAAAGAAGACGTTAGCAACCATTACATATTATCTATTAACAAATGAACATCAAATATTTTTGAGATGTTATTTTTAATTATGTAGATACTTGTGATTTTATGTAGAAACTCTTCTCTCTTTCTCTAGAATATTAGTACATATGTATTTTTAAAGATTTTTGCCATAGGTCACTTATGTTTACCAGAGAGAGACAGTGAAAGACTGACCTCTCCCCTGCCCTCTCCCCCCTGGGTGGATGGCCACACTGCAGTCCTTCTCTTCCATTTTTTTCTAGGGATTTTGAGTATGTTAACACAGTTTTCTGGTGTAATTTTCAGGTCACTGTATCCAAGACTTGTACCATGGTTGTTCATGTGGGAGTCCAGCACCTTAACCACCATGCTAACTAATGACCCCGCAACAATATGTATATATATATTTTTTTTTTGAGAAATTTTTTGCTATAGGGTGCATGCGCTCGCCAGACAGACAGAGACTGAGAGACAGGAAGTGAGAAATCATCCCCTGGGGGGATGGCCATGCTGCAATCCCTTCTTCATTCTCCTCTTGGGATCTTGGGCACGCATGTACATGTGCCTGGCATGAGTTTAAGCCACTGGGTCCGGGCCTCAAACCATGGTCGACTACATGGGAGTCCAGCGACATAGCCATTACGCCAACTGCTGGTCATCACAATAGTATATATTAATGGGGCATTGGTAATCATGTTTTTGAAAAACAATCTTGGGGCCAGTGGTGTCATGGTCGAGGTGGCTAGATCCCACATGGCTGACTGTGTTGGTTCACATCTTAGATCCAGTGGCTTGAAAAATGCTCTGGGCGCATGGGTGTGCAAGTCCGAAATCCTGAAAGAAGAAATAGAGAAGAAGGGATTGTGGCATAACTCCCCCCTATGGGGAATGCTTTTTGATTTTTCAGCAAACTCACATGCCCTCCAGGAAATTAAAAACAACAACAACAACAAAAAACGATTCTTGCAGTTTCGTAGTAAGCATTAGTGGCAGAGAAGATAATTTCCTCCCCCATTTTTGTAGAAAAAATAATCTAGACCATGACCTTCATTTCTAGACCCATCCCAATGAACTCTGATAAGTAAAATGGCTTGTGAAGTTTAATTCATTTGCGAATCAAGAAAGCAGCCTTACTGCATGCCATTTTTCTATAAAATTGATTCTACACGAGATAACTGTAGGCTGCATAGATGTTTTATGCCAGTCCACATGTGTATGGTGTTGAACTTCACACCTCTGTCTTAAGATTTTTAGGTGACATGAGGGCAAAAACATGTTGAATAT